TTCAATCTCAACCTTCAATTAAAATCCATCTAGACCCTACACATCACTTTGTCATCTATCTTTGTCATGCTACTTTGTTGAAGTAGCATTATTCTTTTATTCATATCCCTTCATGTGAACAGTTAGGCAAATTATTTGTCATTATATAGAAGGCTATATTCATTTCCATTTCTATAATTTTATTTTTTTACCGTTCAAATTTCTTGCAAACTTTCAACACAAGCAAATCGATCATTTTCACTTACTTTTAGAAGTTAAAAAAATAAAAAAGGAGAATAAATATTGATCGAATTACATTCATTCAAGAACGAGAGTAACAAAGAGCTATAAATAGTTACAATCGTGCATTGTGTTCATACATTTTCACTACAAGGGAGCAATATAGAGCCATAAATGATGTGGGTTTGTCCTAGTTTACACTTCGAGCAACGAGTTTCTGGACATAAACTTTTCGAAGGCCTCCATGATGTATCATACAATAATGTGGTAAATAATCACCCAGATTTTGGTCTGATCTCAATCCCTTGAATCATGAGACCCTTCTTCCAGTTTCCACCCTTCACCTCCATCAAACTTATTTCCACATCCGAATCCTCTTTTCCCTCAACAAAAAACACCCCCAACTCAACTTCCATCCATCCATCTGCCCTCGACTTGGGGTACTCGGTATTGGGATCTACGGGCACATTGTCATGCCACCGTCCATATCCAGGAGGATTGCGATGATTAAAAGGTAAATTCCAGAACCTTGCTCCTCTTGGATCTAAACAAACATTTCGTTTTTGACCATCATGCCCACTAAATCCCACCAAAGATTCAGCAGGTCCATAACCAAATCCTTGAAATCTTGAGTTCCTTTCGAAAACGAGGTAAGCTGAATATTTTGTTCCTGAAGATAGCATGCTAGCATTTATCTTGCCACGAACTTCAAACCAACAAACCCTTTTGAGCTCAGCCACCTCACGGAATCTGAATCAAACGTGCAATGAGACATCGGAGTTCAAAATAATAATAGAAGGAAAAGATACTCGTTATTCTGATACGGGATAATTGAAGTACCTGGACACAGGAAGAGAGATCCATTCCCAATATTCAGGTGTATCACCCCACACAATAAAGAGATCCCTCGCGGCAAGCATAAAGCACTTCTTTCCGGTCTCTTTGTCCAATGAAACACTCTGCAACATCAGAGAACCCGTAAGATGCATCCTCAACTAGAATAAATGAAACGACAGCCGTGCTAAAATTTACAGATGATCAAAATGTAAAGATAGAAAAACCCACTTAACAACTAAAAAAAGCCTTCAGTCGATTACTTTAACCCATATTTACCTTTGGCATTTGGAGGCATAAAACTATCGAGTCTTGGATATTAAAAGTCATAATACTATTTAGCATTGGAATTTAGGATGTTAATCCCAATTATCATGGAGTAATAACCATGGAAAAATTGAAACAGTAAGCACAGTACTAAAATTCATTAATCTAAGAAATGAGAACTAAGATTTAACTAGGTGTATTGTTGTTCATTATACAGTAGAATCTGAATAACAGATTTTTGAGGCTTGGGCGGTATTGAAAGTAACCCAATTTGCCAAAGATACACATTAAGAAAGAGTACATTAATAAAATTGAAACAGTAAGCACAGTAAGAAAGGGTACATTCTCAACAATTCTCAACAATATTTGTAAAGCTACGCGATTTTTAATTGGCATAAAATGCATGGAGATAGAACAATCTCCAATTAAAAAAATAAATCCAGATGCGATAAGTTTCAGTTATAGAATCCAAAATCAGTAAGATCGATTGAAAGTTGTATTACCTTGGTGCCACCGTCGATAAGGATATGGTTACCACAGAGGTAGAAATATAGCTCTTTCTTGGAGTGAAATTTAGAAATAAATGAATCAGCACAGTCAATTGATCGGGAAATGATGTCACGATAATCAGTCGGTAAAAACCGCTCCCAAACAACATCTGAATCGGCAGCTGAACGGAATATGGAGGCTACCGACGACAGCCGGCAGGCTTCCTTCGGGCTCGTCAACGACAGCGCGTTGGCTATACAACCCTCTGATAGCGCTTGAAAACCACTGCAACTTCCAGACAACATCGTTTTTCTTCCTACATGTCTTCTCTCTTTCTCTTTAAATATCTTTTTGTCAAGCTTATATCACTGGGAAAACCCAAAAGAAAGGAAATTTTATAAACTGAAAGCTTAGGAGTTAAGCGTTTTGTTGCCTTTTTTCCTTTCTTTTTTTCTTCTTCCTTTCTTAAGAAGTTATGCGTAATTGTGCGATATCGTAACAAGCAGTACAGTGGACTTTTGAGTGCGAATATCGTTCCCACAAAGATTATACTTTAGAACTTAATTCAATTTTTCTTAACTCGATTGTGATTATTTTTTCCTAACTACTTTTGACTAATTGAAAATATTAAAAAGATTGCGAACAATGGATAATTGAAAATCAAATATGCGATGAATATTAGAGCATAATAATTTCATCTATTCATCATCTTAATTCTTAATTTAAAATTCATAATTTAATGTAGTGTTCGATCGAATTTTTCTATTATATTCAATTTACCTCTATCGAGTTTTCATTGAGCCTATTTAACTAATTAAATTCAATATCTCTATGCGAATCAATTTTAGTTAAACCAAATACGAGTTCTAAGAATTCATATTATGACCGCAATGATCAGTATATGTATCTCTACACGTTATACTAATTTATCGGGTTTTACTATATGGTCTAAATCTCAAACTCATATCTTGGTTCGTAAGAAACTCACATAATTATCA